GCGTTCAGAAAACATAGCTGATCAGTGAGCGGTCAGTGATTATTGGTCCTTACTGTTAGATCCCTAACTTTAGACCAATTACGTTGACTAATTACTCAACCGTTGTGTAACCGTTGTGTCTCCTGAACGCACCCATTGTAATTTCACCGTAATGGCTCCTGCACACAGAACGCTTGCCGCGCGGAGGAAGTTGCCTAGGGAATAACGCGGTAGCCAATTAATGGCTGCGTTCAGCAGAGAAAGCTGCTTTGCAACTGTGTAAAATTCGTGAATCTGATTGGTACATGCTCTTGGATTTAATCAAAATTAAGAGTATATTTCAATCAGATTCACGAATTTTACAACAGTTGCAAAGCAATTTTCTCTGTTGAACGCAACCAATGTGCTGTTTTAAAGCTAGAAGGTTATTAGGAATATTGTATATTGATTGGCTACCGCACCAACTTCCGCCGCGCGGTAAGCGTTGCCGCGTTTTGTGTACAGGAGCCATTGCTACATTTTATTTTCTTATAATACACAAAATCCTTGTAAAAAAATTACCTGAAATAATATAAAATTACTAATAATAAACGCCTTAAATTAAAGAATAAATTCTCACAATGAAGTATTACTTAGATATCTAAACTCTAAAAAATAAAAAAATCTTGAATTTATTAACAATACAGAATACAATCATCACGTATATATTATTGCCATATATTTCAAAATAAGCAGACATAATTAATTAAAGCTATATTATTGGTTCATAATTTATACATATATATATATATATATATATATTGTTATATGGTCGAGTTTTTTAATTCATCGATGGATCCATCGCATGATGCGCAAATACAGCGTTTTACTGCATTTGCGCATCATGCAATGGACCCATCGATGAATTAAAAAATTTGCCCTATATAATGAAATTAATGTACTTTTTTAATATATTAATATATATTTTATAGCAATGATAGTCTTAATATAGATAGGATATAAACACTTCATTTTCACGCAGTAGAAACATTACAGCTACAAGTCTTGTCTATATCATATATCAGTATAATTCGTATAAAGGTGTTAACATATACGAATTCAAGGAATGAGAATCGCTCTAATAAATTATTATAAAAATTATAATAATTATAAAAGAATAAAATACCGTGCAGACATAATACATTGTAATTTCACACTACGTGATCGATTAGATACGCATCCTTTCTGAAAGAATAACGTGGCGGATTGTGGCAAGGAAACAACCAAAATATCGGATGACTCTTGCCACATACTTGAGACAGAAGCGCAAACGTTCGTGGTGCATTTTTATTGTGATAGCGCTGAGTACCTTGTACACGCTCCACGGCAGTTTCGTCGCCTAGGATTGCTTGGAACTGATCCACCAATATCGCTATGACGAACATACCAAATAGTGCCGATTCCAAGACTAATATCACACAATGTAAACTGCAATACACATAGTGACATAAGCTTCGGAATTTTGGTAAAATGTCTCTGTAAGAATACAAGTACGCACATGCGATTCTGCTTAATGGCAATATCGTTATTGCATTGTGGGCAGTCATTGATCCATGATAAGATGACTAAGATAATGGCATATACAGCTAATGCACCAACATATACCAGAAACTGTATGAAGTACTTTTGATTCCTCTCGCCAACGCAATTATTAATCCTTAAAGTATTAATAATTCAATAAATCAAAGTTGGATTCACAAATATAAATTAGTCAACTGATTATAATATTAATATTATTGATTATATTATTAATATGTTATTAATATATAACAATAATATGTTAAGATTAAAGTAAATATTTATAAAGTCATATCATATATATTCATCATATATTTAAAAGATTATATCATAATTTGTTATTACCATGGACAATGATGATCCATTCTTCTGATGCAACGTTTGCAAATTCGACAATGATGAGCTCTAGGTGGTCTATATGTTTCACATCTAGTACACACTGTCCAATCATCTTTCTCATCACCGTCATGATCATCACTTCCTCCAGAAGCATGAATGTCAGAAAAATCCATTCTGCTTTGTGGTAAAGGTACTATACCAGGATCGCTACAGACAGCTTTTAAATGTGCCATCATTAGGAAAAGCACAACAGTATTGAATGCTATTACATGGAAGGGGCCCCATAAGCTAAAAACAAGATAATATTGAAAATCACCAGTCAGGATTCAATTATAATAATTAAACAATGTTTCTAGCAGAAAATTATAATTGTATGTATCATAAACCAAGAAGAGTATTAAAAAATCCTAAGCCTGAGTATATAAATCTGAAAAGTAGTAACACTATACTTTCACATCTCAAACATCAGTAAAATTATATTTTGTCTTCTTACTCTAAATCTACAATGCTTTTTGCTTCCTATTTCTTTCCCTTTATATCTTTCTGCCTTATCTCAGGGTCTTAGCAGAATGATTTACTTGTAACTTGAAGACTACACTTTCAGTTTTTGTCCTAAGTAATATACAATATTGTTTTGCAATTCAAGTCTTTAATGTACATGAAATGTTAATATTTGCAAAAAATAAATATATGTACATAAAGACATGAAAAAGTAATAATTTCACTGTGCATCCACTATGTAACTACTAAGAATAGATAAATATTTAATAAATATTTTAAATATAATATATTTAACTCTCATTTTTAATTCATTCAAGAGTTTAGATTATATTTATTTATGAAAAATTTGTGAAATATAACTTAATTTATAAAGTTCTATCATTACATATTTATGAATTAAATATTATAAATGTTTAAAGAATATTTATCTATGGAAATTATTCAGTTTAGAGTCCTCATCTCTAATATCAATAAAAGTATACTCAGAGCGACGTTTTTGCTAAATTCGTATTTTACGTGCAAAAATACGTCGATTAAGTATACTTTCATTGATATTAAAGGTGAAGACCCTAAACTGAATAATTACCTTATCTACTACTAGTTGTATAAGAAAATGATTACTTTTATATCTGTACAGATTTATTTCTTATAAATTTTAGGTCTGTTTATTTTCCAAAAACTTCTGTACTAATACAATAAGTTAGAGTAAAACAAATATATTTCTTTTCACTCTAACTTATTGCACTAGCATACACTAATTCAAAAGCTCTTTGAAAACGAATAGACCTTTTGACATTTTGTATATATGTTAAAAATTTAAAGTACAAGAAAACATCGTATATTATTTAAAACAAAGACTCATAAAGCATTATCTTAAAGTTATAAGTTAGTAATTTTACTAAGATCCTAAAATAAAAAAAAACAGAAAATAAGAGCAAAAAGCATATTGTAAATCAGGCTTGAAACAAAAGTCATTTGATCTCATTTCTGAAATCTGTTGATACGCATATCGAGATTATATATTATCGTACAAACCTGTCTTGCATAGTGTGCAACACGATCCATCGTACCACAACATAGTCAGCGTAAAACACCGCTACGTAGGTCACGATAATGCATATGATGCCACAGGGATCTCTGACGAACATTTTTCGTTTTCGACAACGGCAAGTATCCCTCGTGGCGATTAATATCGCGCTTCCTCATCACTGTGTGCACAAGTCTCATGTCATCTGATTTCGAGACAGCTGCATTATTAACCGCGTTCGATGTTAATCGAGGAAGCACGCGCCCGTCAATGTTGATCAATACATAATCCGTGTAAAATTATCACCTAGATTTGATTCCGCAATTCTCACAGGAAATGTGGTGTCAAAGCCTGATATCGCTGATGTTTGCTTAAGTTCTAATAGCGTAATCGTGCAGCTGTCTGATCACGGAATAAAGCCCATATCTGTCAAATAGCACTACTGACTAGTAACAGCTCTCTCTCTCTCTCTCTCTCTCTCTCTCTCTCTCTCTCTCTCTCTCTATGGCTTCAGGCAACCAAAAGGCGTACCTCCAACACCACTCAACGACTAGTAACAGTTGTGATAGGAACACTTGAATAATGGCTGATTCACACTCTACGTTTCATGTTCGGCTGCGTTCAGATTCCTTACCCGGGTGCACTCTAATACAAGAAGTGCTATAGTATATGTGACATATACTATAGTGTTTCTAGTAACAGAGTGCACCTAGGTAGGGAATCTGAACGCACCCCTAGATGTGAAAAAAATTCATGATTGATACTCATGAATTTTTTCCTTTAGTATGAACTCGTGGAAAAATATATGGAAAATATATGGAAATGTTTACTTTTCACAAGTTTGCATTAAGCTTCAGCCTAATGGCTCCTGCACACAGAACGCGGTGGGTGTATATCAGTTGGACACTGGGAAATTGGACACAGTCCAATCACAAGTCGCTGTTCCAAGGAATCCTACAAATGTCTCTAATCACACGGTGCTGTGATTGGCTGTGTCCAAATGCACCGTGTCCAAGTGCACCGCTCCCCTGTCTTAAAATGTCATGAACCAATCACAGAGCCGTATTCGCATCTTAAGACATTACTTAAGATGGTCTTGAAATAAGATTCGACTATAAATACCGGCTTACGTCATTAGATTTGTTCGTGTCGCGTGCCCCAACGTGCTCCTACTCGTTCCAATTCACTCGGATTGGCTACGTCATCACGCGGACCAATCAGAGTACGTTGGAGCGAGTAGGAGCACATTGGCGCATACGACACGACAAACCTCTTGACACACACGTACACAAAACCAGTTTATTGGTCACATAATATCTAAAATATCTTGTAAGATAATATGCAACCAATAAACTGATTTTGTGTAACACAGTGTACGCAACTGGAAAACACCCACTATGTCCATGGGCTGTACGACTTCTATTGTAGACTCCGCTTAAGTCGATCCTTTATAAAAAAAATTAGAAAAAGGTAGAGAAAGGAGAGTTTCTCAAAATTGATTTTTTTTTAAACGTGTAATAAACGATATTGTCCTCGCATACACAGAAATTAGACGATAGGACCATTAAAGAGATTTCTTCGTAGAAATATATAATTA